AACTCGAATGGCATCCTGCTTCTTACCAAATGTGCGGAACACAACCTTGTAATCACCAACATGCTCTTCCGCCAGAAAAACAAGTTCAAGACATCATGGAAGCACCCCCGGTCAAAGCATTGGCACCTCTTAATCACGTAATCAGACATGCCAGAGACCACCGTGATGTCCTTCTCACGAGAGCCATGACAGGTGCTGATGACTGCTGGACAGACCACAGGCTAATCCGATCCACGATGACTACCAAGATCGCCCCCAAGCGCAGACTCCAAGGAAGAAAGACAAGGAGCAAAATGAACACCCAAGCCCTTCAGGAGCCCTCCAAACGAGCCCATCTTCAAACAGCACTCAAGGACCATCTACCCACAGAACACCCCGAAAATGTTGAGGAACATTGGAAGACCTCCATCATCACAGCCTGTGAAGAAGCTATTAGATATCAAAGCAAGAAACATCAAGATTGGTTTGACGAAAATGACAATGAGATCCAACAGCTAATTGACAAGAAAAGGAAAGCCTTCCAAACATGGCAGAGAGACGTCAACTGTGCTGCTAAGAAAAATATCTTGTTGTTGTTCATTCGTTCAGTCGTCTCCGACTCTTCGTGACCTCATGGACCAGCCCACGCCAGAGCTCCCTGTCGGCCGTTACCACCCCCAAGAAAAATATCTACACCAGCACAAAAAGCTGAGTTCCAAAGAAAGACCAGAGAACTCAAGAACATCTGGTGGACAAAGAAGGCTGAAGAAATTCAACACCTGGCAGATACCCATGATGCTCAGAAATTTTTCAAAGCCACAAAGGTAATCTACGGACCAAGAAACCATGGCATACAGCTTCTACGCTCATCAGATAGAACCAAACTGATGAGCGTAGGAGCTGTACGCTATAAACCATGCCTATGGTGCCACCTCTGGGTGACAATGAGAAGGTGCATGCCTTCTCGTTCTGAAACTCTAGGAGAGCGGGGCGCCATTGAGAATCTGATTTCTTTATGGACTGCACCACCCACCCCTCTCTAATCAGCCAAACGGGGAGTGATGGGAGATGTAAACCAACAACTTAGAAGGCCTTGGTCTGGGGAAAAGAACAAGAGAGCCCGCCAAGACTGGCTATGCCATATAGGGCTGATAGGAGCTGTCGTCCAAATACTTTACATGATACATTGAATGAGGCAGGCCCCATATTGTTCCCATCAGCTCACACAGCAAGGTATGAACGTTGATCAATTGATTTCACCAATACCTGTTTATTTTGAATCCTGCCACATTTCCATAGCTATTGCTGAGCGGCATTCTGTGGACGCCAAAAAACAAGGGGGTTACGGATGGATGGGAGTTTTTCAAGAGTGAAATACTCAAGGCGCAATTGTAAACAGTGCCGACAAAGAGGAAAAAAATAGGACAAGTGCAAAGAAGCCAGAATGGATGTCCAAAGAACTTCTAACTGGGCTAAGACTCAAAATAGACATGCACAAGAAGTGGAAAAAGGGAGAAATCACCAAAGAAAAATCCAAACAAATAAGCTACTCCTGTTGGGAAAAGATTTGCAAGGCTAAAGTGCAAAATGAGCTCAGGCTTGCAAAGAACATGAAAAAATTAAAAGGACTTCTTTGCTTACATCGGTAGAAAAGGGAAGAACAAGGAGGCGATAGGGCCTCTGCAAGGAGAAGATGGGGCAATGCTGACAGGGGATCAGGAAAAGGCAGAACTACTTAATGCCTTCTTTGCCTCAGTCTTCTCACAAAAAGAAAGCCATCCTCAGCCACAGCAACATGGAGTGGACAAAGGATTAGGGAAAATCCAACCCCAAATGCAAGCAAGTAGTCCAGGAATACCTGACTGCTCTAAATGAATACAAGCCCCCAGGGCCAGGTCAACTACATCCAAGAGTATTGAAGGAACTAGCAGAAGTCATTTCAGAACCACTGGCCATCTTTGAGAGTTCTTGGAGAACGAGATAAGTCCCAGAAGATTGGAGGAGGGCCAATGTGGTCCCTATTTATCTTCAAGAAGGGAAAAAAGGACGAGCCAAACAATTACCAATGTCCAGTCAGCCTCACATTGATACCAGGCAAGATTCTGGAAAAGATCATTAAGGAAGTGGTCTGCAAACACTTAGAAACGAATGCGGTCATCACTAATAGTCAACATGGATTTATCAAAAACAAGTTATGCCAGATTCACCTGATCTCTTTTTTCGATAGAGTTACAAGCTGGGTAGATGCGGGGAATGCCGTGGATGGAGCATATTTGGATTTCAGGAAGGCCTTCGACAAGGTCCCCCTTGACCTTCTGGCAAGGAAACTAGTCCAGTGTGAACTAGGAAAACTATGGTTAGGTGGATATGTAATTGGTTAAGTAAACGAACCAATGGGGGGGGGGGGGTGATTCTCCCCAATGCTTCCTCTTCTTCATCCTGGAAAGAAGTGAGGAGTGCAGTGCCATCCAAAGGGTCTGGTCCTGGGCCCAGTCTTGTTCAGGATCTTGATTAGTGACTTGGGTGAAGCGTTAGAAGGCATGATGATCAAGTTTTAAGATGGGACCAAATGGGGAGGGAGAGCCAATACTCCAGAAGACAGAAGCAGAATTCAAAACGATCTTCACAGATGAGAGAGAATGATGAGCTAAAACTAACACAATGTAGTTCAACAGAGACAAATGCAAGGTACTCCGCTTAGGCAGAAAAATGGAAATGCAAAGAGACAGAATGGGAGAATGATGCCTGGTTCCATAGCAGGACGTGTGAAAAAGACCTTGGAGTTCTCGTGGGGAGGAAGGGGAACATGAGCTAGGAATTACATACGGCAGCAAAAAATGGGATTTTGGCCTGCATAAATAGGAACGTAGTGCCTAGATCCAGGGAAGTCATCCTACCCAGGCTTTATTCTGCCTTGGTCAGACCACACCTGGACTCACACTGTGTCCAATTCTGGGCACCGCAACTGAAGGCAGATGTTGACTCTAAGCTGGAATGTCACCATACGAGGGTGACTCAAATGATCAAGGGTTTGGAGAAGAAGCCTTATGAGGAGCAGCTTCAAGAGCTGGGCATTAACCTGCAGAAGAGAAGGCTGAGAGGAGACATGATGAGAGCCAGGGAACAAGGTGAGGGAGGAAGTCATAGGGAAGAGGAAGCAGGCTTGTTTTGTACTGCCCTGGAGACTTGGACGCAATGGAACAATGGCCTCAAAGTACAGGAAAGGAAGGAGATTCCACCTGAACATGAGGAAGAACTTCCTAACAATGAGAGCTGTTTAGCAGTGGAACTCTCTCTCTGCCTTGGAGTGTGGAGGAGGCTCCTTCTTTGGAGGCTTTTAAGCAGAGGCTGGATGGCCTTCTATCAGGGGTGCTTTGAAGGCAATTTTCCTGCTTCTTGGCAGAATGGGGTTGGACTGGATGGCCCACCAGGTCTCTTACAACTCTATGAGTCTACTGATAGTTTCCATCAGGCTTTGAATACTCTTTACTGGGGCGTCTATAATGCAAACCATATCATCAGCATATGCCTTAACTTTAAATTCTTGTCTTTTCATTTTCACCCCTGTAATACGACTGTCTTCTCTAATCCTAATATGTAATACTTCCAACATCTAGATAAATAGTAGAGGTGATAGAGAACAACTTTGTCTTGTTCGTTTTCATATCTCTATATAATTTGACATTTGAAGCCCCCGGTGGCACAGTGGGTTAAACCCCTGTGCCGGCAGGACTGAAGGTTCGAATCTGGGGAGAGGCGGATGAGCTCCCTCTATCAGCTCCAGCTCCTCATGCGGGGACATGAGAGAAGCCTCCCACAAGGATGATAAACATCAAATCATCTGGGCGTCCCCTGGGCAACGTCCTTGCAGACGGCCAATTCTCTCACACCAGAAGCGACTTGCAGTTTCTCAGGTCACTCTTGACACGACAAAAAAAAATTGACATTTGGCCATTTATCCTTAATTTGACTTGTTGTTTTGAATAAGTACCACGCAACCACCCTTTTAAATGGCTGACCCACCCCATAGTGAACCAATATTTTTTCTATAAATCCCCAACAAATGTTATCAAAAGTTGTCCCTGCATCTAGAAATAGAAGTGCAGCTTCTCTGTTAGGGTCTTGTTCAGCCACCTCTAGTATGTTTTAAAACCATTTGTATGCTTTGGTTTGGGCCCTCTGGTGGCGCAACAGGTTAAACCGCTGAGCTGCTGAACTTGCTGACCAAAAGGTTAGCAGTTCGAATCCGGGGAATGGGATGAGCTCCCGCTGTTAGCCCCAGCTTCTGCCAACTTAGCAGTTTGAAAACATGGAAATGTGAGTAGATCAATAGCTACCACTTCAGTGGGAAGGTAATAGCGCTCCTTGCAGTCATAATAATAATAATAATAATAATAATAATAATAATAATAATAATAATAATAATAATAATCTTTATTTATACCCCACCATCATTTCCCCTGTGGGGACTCAGAGCAGCTTACATGGGGCCAAGCCTGGACAACATATAACAGCAATAAAATCAAAACATAAACAACAAATAACAACAACATCATCAAAAATACATTAAAAATAACATTCTAATAAACACAATCACAATAATAACAATGGACGGGCCACATATACAGGATAAAAACAATTAAAGGACTGAAATGAGTCATGATGGCCACATGACCTTGGAGGTGTCTACGGACAATGCCAGCTCTTCAGCTCAGAAATGGAGATGAGCACCACCACTAGACTTAATGTCAAGGGGAAACCTTTATTTACCTTATGCTTTGGTTTAACTGCCTGCTTGGAAGGAAGCCTGCTTGGTCTTCATGTAAAATCTTAACTAGGATTAATATCTATCTATTTGCTAATATTTCTGCAAATACCTGGAAGATACCTAGAAGGGCACAAATGACCCATGCTTCCCTAAACTATTTGCGAACGTTACCTCTTCCATTGATGATTATTGGTTGTAAACAACTGAGCGCATATTTGGAAAGTTGCCCTCCTTTAGAAAGAAGAACACTTACCTCTAAGCAGATCCGAGAGCGGAGGGCCACAATCTTCCGGAATCGTGTAGTCCCCTTTCCCAATGTTTTCGAACAGCTTATAAATATTATCGCCCTCAAAGGGATAAAGGCCGGTTGTTATGTTGTACCTGTAAAAGAGGAACAGAGAGAAACACAGTCAAAATGCCTTTCTTCATTCGTTCTCTTGCCCTGGATGGAAAGCAAAGTAAAAAAGCAACAGTGTGAACCTTGGACTTGTTGAAGTCTTGGGAAGTGAAGACTTCATTCTGCACAAAACATGAACTAAACACTTTTGGTAAGAAAATTATTTTTCTGTACTTGAAGCAAAACATTTTGGGCAGGATATATCATTTTGTGCGCAGAGAATACGGCCTCCTCTCCCATGGTACTGGTCCAACACTCAAATCTTCTCTATTGTTATTGTTGTTACTATTATGCTGCTCTCAGCCCCATTCGTGGGAGAAAAGTGGGATAAAGGCAAATAAATAAATAAATAAATAAAAATAGGTTGCTATGAGTTTTCCGGGCTTGTCTGGCCATGTTCCAGAAGCATTCTCTCCTGACGTTTCTCCTACATCTATGGCAGGCATCCTCAGAGGTTGTGAGGACTGTTGGAAACAAGGCAAGTAGCATTTATATATCTGTGGAATGTTCAGGGTGGGAGAAAGAACGCTTGTCTGCTGGAGGCAAGTGTGAATGTTTCAATTGACCACCTTGATTAGCATTTAATGGCCTAGCAGCTTCAAAGCATGGCTGCTTCTTGCCTGGGGGGGATCCTTTGTTGGAAGGTGTTAGCTGGTCCTAGAATCTTAGAATCATAGAATCATAGAGTTGGAAGAGACCTCATGGGCCATCCAGTCCAACCCCCTGCCAAGAAGCAGGAATATTGCATTCAGAGCACCCCTGACAGATGGCCATCCAGCCTCCTGTTTAAAAGCTTCCAAAGAAAGAGCCTCCACCACACTCTGGGGCAGAGAGTTCCACTGTTGAACGGCTCTCACAGTCAGGAAGTTCTTCCTAATGTTCAGATGGAATCTCCTCTCTTGTAGTTTGAAGCTACTGTTCCACGTCCTAGTCTCCAGGGCAGCAGAAAACAAGCTTGTTCCCTCCTCCCTGTGACTTCCTCTCACGTGGCTATCATATCTCCTCTCAGCCTTCTCTTCTTCAGGCCAAACATGCCCAGCTCTTTAAGCTGCTCTTCATAGGGCTTGTTCTCCAGACCCTGATTGATTCCTGTTTGGAATTCCCCTGTTTCTGAGTATTGCTCTTTATTTACTGTCCTAATTTTAGAGGGTTTTTTTTTAATACTGGTAGCCAGATTTTGTTCCTTTTCATGGTTTCCTCCTTTCTGTTGAAATTGTCCACATGCTTATGGATTTCAGTGCCTTCTCTGTGTAGTCTGACATGGTGGTTGTTAAGAGTGGTCCAGCATTTCTGTCTTCTCCAATTAACATGCTGTGTCCAGGTTGATTCATCAGGTGCCTTTGACAACACAAACAATAATGGGTTGTTGTAGGTTTTTTCGGACTATATGGCCATGTTCTAGAGGCATTCTCTCCTGACGTTTCGCCTGCATCTATGGCAAGCATCCTCAGAGGTAGTGAAGTCTGTTGGAACTAGGAAAAAGGGTTTATATATCTGTGGAATGACCAGGGTGGGACAAAGGACTCTTGTCTCCTGGAGCTAGGTGTGAAGGCTTCAACTGACCACCTTGATTAGCATTTGAGCAGACAAGAGTCCTTTGTCCCACCCTGGTCATTCCACAGATATATAAACCCATTTTCCTAGTTCTAACAGACCTCACTACCTCTGAGGATTCTTGCCATAGATGCAGGCGAAACGTCAGGAAAGAATGCCTCTAGAAAATGGCCATATAGCTTGAAAAAACCTACAACAACCCAGTGATTCCGTCCATGAAAGCCTTCCAACAATACAAACAATAATATTTATTATGTTTATTTTTATCCCACTTTCTTTCTCTACAAGGAGACTCAAAGGGGCTATGGCTCCATTATTAGTTTTAGAATGTATTTTTATTGTTATGTTTATTTATACCCTATTTTTTTCCTCCCAAGGAGATTGAAAGTGGCTTACATTAAAAGCATTTAGTACAATATAAAAATCTACATATATGTAAAGATTAAAACAGAAGTAAATGTCATTGGTATAAAAAGGTGCCCGTTTTCTTGTTAATTTGAATATGTTAATCTGAACACTCAGTCTGCCCTGGTGTTCCCCGTATTTCTATTCTGTTGCTTTTTCAACTTGGTCTGCTTCCTTACATCTTTCTGCCGACTATAACTCCCACAGGCAGGATGGTGCTAATCTGAACAAGCAAGGTGCACTCTTTTTAAGAATGTACGAAATGCAGGGTTTGCCCATTTTGGTGATGTTTGTGATAATCTATTCTAATAATATAATATAATACATTGTATATACATGTAATATTTATAATATTATAATGTAATGCAATATAATTCTAATATTAATAATAATACGATATTATAATTATATATTTATATTATATGTAATATTACTAATAATATTACAATATAATGGTATAGTACAATATAATAATATTTAATACTGATATTGTACTATGCTAATAATATAATATGCAATATAATTCTAATATTCTAGAAGGTACCGAAGCTGGCCTGCGCAGGCGCAGAAATACCATTGTGCGATTCACAGTTGACTACGACAGGAAATATTACAATATAACGGTATAGTACAATATAGTAATATTTAATACTGATATTGTACTATGCTAATAATATAATATATATTGTGTGTGTGTATGTGTGTGTGTGTGTGTGTGTGTATATATATATATATATATATATATATATATATATATTGTAAGCTGCTCTGTCTCTTTTGGGGTGAGAAGGGCAACATATAAATAAATAAATAAATAAATAAATAAATAAATAAATAAATGGTATTCAATAAATTAAAATCAATAAATATATATTCAAACTAAAAACCACAACAACCTCCAACTTAATTTTCTGTAGGAACTGAAAAATGTTCCAATCATTGAGTGGCCACTAGTCAATCTTGAACTTTGGTTTTGTGCTTTTTAACTCTGAATGTGTTTTAATGGATTTTAATTGAATTTTTAAATACTGTTTATATTTAATTCTGTTTTAATGTTTGTATATTTGTATGTTTGAATTTGTATCCCAATGCTTTTACATTAAGCTGGTTTGAGTTTCCTGTGGGAGAGTCAAAGAAGGATATAAATTATTATTATTATTATTATTATTATTATTATTGACTTTGACAAAATCACAATCTGTCAACTGCAAAAGGCCACCTGACTTGGATCTGCGCGCGTCATTCGGAAATACATCACACAGTCCAAGATGCTTGGGAAGTGTTCGACTTGTGATTCTGTGATACGAAATCCAGCATATATATCTCGTTTGCTGTGACATACTGTGTTTTTGTGTCAGTAAAATAATAATAATAATAATCTTAAAACCCCTCTTTTTGGCTTGCATAAATAGGAGTCTAGTGCCTAGATCCAGGGAAGTCATGCTACCACTTTCTTCTTAGCTTTTTATTCCAGTATAGGTGATCTCTCGTAGCCCAAGTGTAGTGTCTTGGTGATGGGTGCGTAGGTGCCTGTGGAGCCCTATTCTTGATCCACATGTTCTCCCACAGTGAGGATATTGGTTTCCAGCAGAAAGGCAGTCCTGGTCAGGGTTGGCTTGACACACCTTCCTCTTGGCACGTTTCTCCCTTTCGCCTTCCATTTGTGCCTCTTTAAATTCTGCAGCACTGCTGGTCACAGCTGACCTCCAGCTAGAGCGCTCAAGGGCCAGGGCTTCCCAGTTATCGATGTCAATGCCACAGTTTTTAAGGTTGGCTTTCAGCCCATCTTTCAATCTCTTTTCCTGTCCATCAACATTCCGTTTTCCGTTCTGGAGTTGGGAGCATATTAACTGCTTTGGGAGACAGTGATGTTTGGGGATTCGGACAACATGGCCAGTCCAGTGGAATTGGTAGCATTGGAGCACTGCTTCAGGGCTGGTGGTCTTTACTTCTTCCAGCATGCTGTCATTTGTCCGCTTGTCTCCCCAAGAGATTTGCAGGATTTTCCAGAGGCAACACTGATGGAATCGTTCCAAGAGTTGTGTGACATCTGCAAACATTCCACATTTTGAAGACATAGAGCAGGTCTGGGAGGCAATGGCTTCATAAACAAGCACCTTGATCTTCTTATGGATGTCCCAATCCTCAAACACTCTCATAAATAGGAGTCTAGTGCATAGATCCAGGGAAGTCTTGCTCCCCCTGTATTCTATACTGCCTTGGTCAGGCCACACCTGGAATCATGTTGTTGTTGTTCATTCATTCAGTTGTTTCCGACTCTTTGTGACCTCATGGACCAGCCCACGCCAAAGCTACCTGTCGGCCGTCACCTCCCCCAGCTCCTTCAGCGTCAAGCCAGTCACTTCAAGGATGCCATCCATCAATCTTGCCCTCTTCCTTTTTCCTTCCATTTTTCCCTGCATCGTCTTCTCTAAGCTTTCTTTTCTTCTCATGATGTGGCCAAAGTAAAACTTTGTCTCTACTATCCTTCCCTCCAATTACCAGTCGGGCTTTATTTCCTGAAGTATGGACAGGTTGGATCTTCTCGCTGTCCAAGGCACTCTCAGAACTTTCCTCCAGCACCACAGTTCAAAAGCATCTATCTTCCTTCACTCAGTCTTCTTTATGGTCCAGCTCTCACATCCGTAGGTGACTACAGGGAATACCATTGCTTTAAATATGCGGATCTTCGTTGCCAGGGTGATGTCTCTACTCTTCACTATTTTATCAAGATTGGTCATTGCTCTCCTCCCAAGAAGTAAGCGTCTCCTGATTTCCTGGCTGCAGTCCGCGTCTACAGTAATCTTTGCAGCTAGAAATACAAAGTCTGTCACTGTCTCCATGTTTTCTCCCTCTATTTCCCAGTTGTCAATCATTCTTGATGTCATAATCTTGTTTTTTATGTTTAACTGCAACCCAGATTTTGCGCTTTCTTCTTTCACCTTGATTAGAAGGCTCCTCATACTGGAATCATACTGTGTCCAATTCTGGGCACCGCAATTGAAGCTGGAATGTCACCATAGGAGGGCAACTCAAATGATCAAGATCTGGATAAGAAGCCTTATGAGGAGCGGCTTCAAAAGCTGGGCATGTTTAGCCTGCAGAAGAGAAGGCTGAGAAGAGACATGATGAGGGCCAGGGATCAAGGTGTAAGAGGAAGTCATAGGGAGGAGGGAGGGAGACTAGGACATGGAGCAATGGCTTCAAACTACAGGAAAGGAGATTTCACCTGAACATTAGAAATAACTTCCTCACTGTGAGAGAGAGCGGTTCAGTAATGGAAGTCTCTCTCTGCCCCAGAGTGTGGTGGAAGCTCCTTCGTTGGAGGCTGTGAAACGGGCTGGATGGCCATTTGTCAGGGGTCAGCAGCAATTTTCTTGCTTCTTGGCAGAAAGGGGTTGGACTGAATGGCCCATGAGGTCTCGTCCAACTCTATGATTCTAAAAGCCTGTCTGAATAACTATATAGTAGAGCAGGGGTCCTCAGACTGAGGCCCAAGGGCCGAATACGGCCCTCCAAGGTCATTTACTCGGCCCTCACTCAGGGTCAACCTAAGTCTGAAACGACTTGAAAGCACACAACAACAACCACCACCACCACCACCACAACAACAACCCTATCTCATCAGGCCCACAGTGCCCATTGAAATACTAATAAATTTATACTTGTTAAAATTGCACTTCATTTTAATTATTATATTGTTTTTTGGTGTGTTTTGCACTGCAAATAAGATACATGCAGTGTGCATGGGAATTCATTCTTTATTTTCTTCAAATTATAATCCGGCCCTCCAACAGTTTGAAGGACTGTGACCTGGCCCTCTGTTTAAAAAGTTTGAGGACCCCTGCAGTAGCGTCTTGTTTATCGGACCTTTGCTTATCCGACATTCAGTCTTATCCGATGCTCTTATCTGACGCCCTCTTCTCCTCCAGCATTTCCCCTTCATTTATAGGAGCGCTCCCCAACTCTCTCTCCATTCCCAATAAGTGAAAAAGGCAACACAAGGAGGAGGAGGAGGAGGAGGAGGGAGGGAGGGAGGAAAGGGGGAAAAGAAGTAGGACTAGAAGCGGAAGTGTCCTCCCTCCTTCCTTCTATGATTTCCACCTTCCTCTTCCACATCCAGGCACTTCCTGCTGTGCTGCTCTAGCCCTAAGGCATCGCCTTGCCTTAACCCTTTGAGTCCCTGTTGTTAGCATTCTAGGTGTCTTGCACTACGTTGGATGGGTAACAGTAGGAGACTCCATATTATCCAACATTTTCATTTATCTGACTACCGTATATTTAAAGATGGCCATTGTGTCACCAATCTTCTCCAAGATAAATGTATCTATCACCTGAAGCTGTATTATTATTATTATTATTATTATTATTATTATTATTATTATTATTTGAAACACAAGATGAGTCCACAGCGGACACTCTGCTGGCTGTTGAATTGGATCACATGTCGGACACTTCCCAAGTGTCTAGGACTGTGTGATGTATCGGCGAATAATGCGTGCCAAGATCATTAGGCACTGCACCCAGTGTGCCGATCACCACTGGGACCACCTTTACTGGTTTGTACCACAGTCTTTGCATTTGTACCAGAGTTTTTGCAGGATTATTATTATTATTATTATTATTATTATTATTATTATATTGTCGAAGGCTTTCATGGCCGGAATCACAGTGAGGTCTGACCTCTACCTCTGAAGATGCTTGCCATAGATGCAGGCGAAACGTCAGGAGAAAAATTGCCTCCAGAACATGGCCATATAGCCTGGAAAAACCTACAACAACCCATTATTATTATTATTATTATTATTATTATTATTATTATTATTCATGCCCAGCCTTTCTCCCCATAGAGACTCAAGGCAGCTAACAATCCAGGCTAGACAAGTTTTAAAACTGCAATATAAAAATTAAAACACAACTAAATATTAACAGTGTGGTAAAAAGCAGAATTAAAATACAGCTAACCCGCAAAGGGCTTGGTTTCCTTGGTTTTTACCCTATTGACTGCCTTCCACCTCCATGGCTGAGTTTTGATGCTCCCGTGTACTTACAGTGTAACGCCCGCAGACCAAATGTCCACTTTGAAACCCGAAAAGGTGTCAAGGCCGTTGGCGATTTCGGGTGGCTGAAAAGCAGGGGAGCCCTGGCTCGTTCGGCACACGTCGTCCTCAGCAAACGGGTGCAATGCCTGCAGGAGGGAGAGAAGCGACCAAACCTATCAATATTTTCATAGCATGGGGATACCTTGACTTATGTTCCCTGACTGAGCTCTTAACTCAAATGACTCTTATGTCAAATCAAATGGCTCTTATGTCAAATCAAATTTCCCCATTGAAAAGAATCAGAATACTATTAATACGTTCCACCCCGCTCCCAAGCCACTTATATAACCTTTATTGACTCTTTCTGCTTCAAACACATACACTACAGGGATACCTTAACTAACAAGTTAAATCATTCCGTGGCTGAGCTCTTAACTCAAATGGCTCTTAGGTCAAATCAAATTTCCCCACTCAAATAGCAAGTTCAGTAGCTCAGCAGTTTAATCCACTGCGTCACAAGAGGGCCAAACCCTCCTCCAACCACACCAATTTTTGTTACATGTTGAACACTGAACACTGTTCCCATCCTAAATATCTCGGTGTCACCTTAGATTGAACACTAACATTTAGAAAACAAATAAGATATTTGCAGTGGGCATAGGAATTCATTCATGTTTTTTTCAAACTATAATCCAGCCCTCCAACAGTTTGAGGGACTGTGACCTGGCCCTCTGTTTAAAAAGTTTGAGGACCCCTGGACTAAGGCTTACCTCACAATCAGGCCTACTAACAATGAGACCTATTCTCCCACAGATGTGTTCTCTCACACTGAGAGGTTTACCTCACTCTCCTTAGGATGACACTAGCTTTGGCCCATTAACAGGTTTTGTCCTACCCACTCTCCTCAGGACGGCACTAGCTTTGGCCCACTGATTCTAACAGGCCTTGGCCTGCTAACTCTTTCAGTGCTTGACTCACACTTTTGCAAACCCAAATACCTGGTAGTCACTCTGGACCATGCTCTGACCTACAAGAAGCACTGCCTGAACATCAAGCAAAAAGTGAGTGCTAGAAACAATATCATACGAAAGCTGACTGGCACAACCTGAAGATCACAACCAGACACAGTGAAGACATCTGCCCTTGCGCTATGCAACTCTGCTGCTGAGTACGCATGCCCAGTGTGGAACACATCTCACCACACTTAAACAGTGGATGTGGCTCTTAATGAGACATGCCGCATTATCACGGGGTGTCTGCGCCCTACACCACTGGAGAAATTACACTGCTTAGCCGGTATTGCACCACCTGACATTTGCCGGGAAGTGGCAGCCAACAGTAAAAGGACCAAGGCAGTGACATCTCTCAAATCAAGAAATAGTTTTCTAAGATCTACAGAGACACTCGCTGGAACACCTCAGCAAGCGAGAGTCCAAAAGTGGCAGGCTAAAACCCAGCACCTCAATCTATGGGTGGTATCAGATGAGAGACTCCCCCCTGGGCACACAGAAGACTGGGCGACTTCGGAGGCGCTGAACAGACTGCGCTCTGGCACCATGAGATGCAGAGCCAACCTTCAGAAATGGGGCTACAAAGTGGAATCCACAACATGCGAGTGTGGAGAAGAGCAAACCACTGACCACCTGCTGCAATGCAACCTGAGCCCTGCCACATACACAATGGAGGACGTTCTTGCGGCAACACCAGAGGCACTCCAAGTGGCCAGATACTGGTCAAAGGACATTTAATCAACTACCAAGTTTGCAAACTTTGTGGGGTTTTTTTATCTGTTTGTTTGTTTTGTTCTGTTAGAAATGTAATACAATGGTCTGGTTGCCCCTGACATGATAAATAAATAAATACTTCTGTAATCAAAAATACCCAGTTAATTTTTAATATTTCTAACATTAATCACTTGTGTTCCCTCTATTTTTATCAGTTTTATACTTACTTATGCAATTCTTAAATGATAAATAAATAACTATCAGTTTAAGAAACAGAAGCAGGAGGAGAGGATAAAGGCAAAGAGGACAATGGGGAAAGAAAAGGTTTTCCCTGCTAGCTAACCCATCTGCCTATTATTTCCTCAATGGGGAATTATACACTTGGCAGGATGTGAACTAAAAACACCGGCCGATTCCCTCCCCTTCCCCATTGGCTTCCAGATTGAAGGTCATGCATTTTCCAGCCATAAAGCTGGGTCCATACCCAGGCCCATACCTCTGCCACACCCAGGTCTGAAATCTTCAGCGTTCCGTTGGTGGTGAGTAAGAGGTTCCCTGGTTTGATGTCTTTGTGAACGATGCCTTGGCTGTGAAGATACTCCAAACCATCAATCAGCTGGCAAAAATACCTTCAACAGGGAGACATCAGAATTACAGGATGATAAATGTGCATTTAGATCACCTTTGAATTCTTTATGTACATTTTACACACACATACACATCTATTTCTGTTTCATTGATTATTCTAAAGCCTTTGACTGTGTGGATCATAATAAATTGTGGCAAGTTCTTGGTGGTATGGGCATACCAAATCACCTTGTCTCTCTCCTGAGGAATCTGTATAAGGACCAAGTAGCAACAGTAAGAACTGGCCATGGTTCTGGTTCAAGACTGGTTCAAGATTGGGAAAGGCGTACAGCAGGGTTGCATACTCTCACCCAACCTATTCAACTTGTATGCAGAACACATCATGCGATGTGCAGGGCTTGATGAATGCAAGGCTGGGGTGAAAATTGCTGGAAGAAATATTAGCAACTTAGATATGCAGATGATACCACTTTGATGGCTGAAAGCGAGGAGCTGAGGAGCCTTCTATTCAAGGTGAAAGAAGAAAGCACAAAAGCTGGGTTGCAGCTAAACATCAAAAAAATCAAGATTATGGCAACAAGAATGATTGACAACTGGGAAATAGAGGGGGCAAATGTGGAGGCAGTGACAGACTTTGTATTTCTAGCTGCAAAGATTACTGCAGATGCGGACTGCAGCCAGGAAATCAGGAGACGCTTACTTCTTGGGAGGAGAGCAATGACCAATCTCGATAAAATAGTGAAGAGTAGAGACATCACGCTGGCAACGAAGATCCGCATAGTTAAAGCAATGGTATTCCCCGTAGTCACCTACAGATGTGAGAGCTGGACCATAAGGAAGACTGAGTGAAGATAGATGCTTTTGAACTGTGGTGTTGGAGGAAAGTTCTGAGAGTGCCTTGGACAGCGAGAAGATCCAACCAGTCCATACTTCAGGAAATAAAGCCCAACTGCTCATTGGAGGGAAGGATAGTAGAGGTAAAGATGAAATATTTTGGCCACATCATGAGAAGAAAGGAAAGCTTAGAGAAGACAATGATGCTGGGGAAAGTGGAAGGAAAAAGGAAGAGGGGCCGACCTAGGGCAAGATGGATGGATGGCATCCTTGAAGTGACTGGATTGACCTTGAAGGAGCTCTGGGTGGTGACGGCCGACAGGTAGCTCTGGCGTGGGCTGGTCCATGAGGTCACGAAGAGTCGGAGACGACTGAACGAATGAACAAAAAAAAATCCATGTCCTACAGGCAATCCTTCAGGCAGAATCCCTTCATTTCAATAGGATTTACTATGGTAAATACATTTCCACAAAGTCTAGGAATGTATTCCCCACAAATACGGGCTTTGTATTGGATAACACACCGGATCCCAAGGGGCTGGTTGCAGGCCTGACTTCACTGATCTCAGGTACAGGAGAAGAAGGGGAGCACCGTAATTCAGTGCCGAGGCAAAGGCAGTAGGGGGGGCCAAAAGGCTGCCACGAACATAATGTAAAATCAAGAGAGAGAATCCAGAATGGAAGAAAGGAGGAAAATCCCTAAAAGCTGCTGGGAAGCCACCCTGCAATGGTGTGCAAGCCAATGGAAGGGAGCCCAGGAGCCAAATTATGGCTCTGGTAGGAATGGAGTCTTTGTGGAGAACAAGTTGAACACAAGCCAAGAGTGTGATGCAGCAGTTCAAAAAGCCAATGTGATTTTGGGCTGCATCCAATGGAGTCTAGTGTCTAGATTGAGGGAAGTCATGGTGCCCCTCTATTTTGCTTTGGGCAGATGTCTTTACCTGGATGTCTTACTGTGTCCAATTCTGGGCAAATGAATTCAAAAGAGATAACAACAACAAGAACAATGAATCTAAGCTGGAAGATGTCCAGAGGAAGAGGGCGACTAAAATGATCAAAGGTCTGGAGACCATGAACCTTGATAAGGAACATCTGGGTCTGTTGAGCCTTCAGAAGAGAAGGTTGAGAGGAGCCATGTATAAATATGTGAAAGGAGGCCATAAGGAAGAAGGAGCAGGCTTGTTTTCTGCTGCCCTGGAAACTAGGCCTCAATGGAGCCATGCTTCACATTACAGGGAAGGAGATTCCGCAGAACATCAACAGAAAGAACTTCCCAACTGTAAGAAGAACTGTTCAGCAGTGGAACTCTCTGTCTCGGAGTCTGGTGGAAGCTCCTTCCTTGGAAACTTTGAAAAATGAAGCTGGATGGCCATCTATCAAGGGTACTTTGTGCTTTTCCTGCATGGCAGAAAGAAGGGGGTTGGACTAGATGGTCTTTGGGGTCTCTTCCAACTTTAGGATTCTATAATTCTATGGATCTGCCCCAAGACTGAGATGAGGACTGGGAGGACGCCTCCTCCAGGCTTACTTACCCGTGTGCTTGGAAGACCGGAAACTTCTTTTCAGGGACGCTGTCCAACATCTCCTGCATGCCACACACACAGTACTCCATCACCATATACGTGGGAGGCAGAATTAAGGAAGCAAGACTTAGCATCACACAGGGCCTGAGGTCTAAGCCCTCTCTCTCTACACAAGACTGTATCTCTTTATCCTCTAGTAAGTATGAGGAGACAGGGCCTCCTTGGTGGTTGCTCCTACGTTAGTCGTATTTATTTATGTATTTACTTACTTACTTGCTTCATTTATATACTGCTTTTCTCACCCTGGGGAGGGGGGACGGGACGGGACTCAAAGTGGTTTCCAACATATTCACATCAAAATTTAATGCTTAACATACAGATAAAAACCTAACATAAAAGCTATAAATTAAACTATTAAACCATATTAAACAGAAAATGTAAACAACATTTAGACATTAAAAAAACATAGAATCAAAAACATATTAATATAAATATTAAAATCACATAATCCAGAAACCGTAGTCCGAGGCCTTTCCAAATATCAATTGCACACAATCTTGTTCGTTTCTTGCACTGCTTACTGCCCAAAGGCTTGGTCCCGCATCCAGGTCTTTGCTTTCTTTCGAGAGACCAAGAGGGAGGGCGCTGATCTAATTTTGTTAAAGGGGCTACCAATGAGAAGGCCCTATCACTCATCCCCACCAGTCGCACTTGAGAAGGAGGTGGGGTCGAGAGCAGGGCCTCCCCAGAAGATCTTAAACTCCTAGATGGTTCATAGAGGGAGATACATTCAGACAGGTAAGCTGGGCCCAAACCGTTATAGGCTAAAGTCAGCACATTGAATTATGCTCGGCAGCAGACTGGCAGCCAACAGAGCTGGCGCAACAGGGGAATTGTATGGTCCCTGTACACTGCTCTGGTGAGCAATCTGCCTGCTGCCGGCTGAACAACTGGAGCTTCCGAACAGTCTTCAAATGCAACCCCATGAAGAATGCATTGCAGTAGTCTATTCAGGGATGTAACCAGAGCATGGACTACCATGGCCAAGTCTGATTTCCCAAGGTATGGGCTCAACTGGCACACAAGTTTTAATTGTGCAAAAGCTCCCCTGGCCACCGCTAAGACCTGAGGTTCCAGGCTCAGTGATGACGCCAGGAAAACTCCCAGACTGCGAACCTGTGTCTTCAGGGGGAGTGCAACCTTGTCCAACACAGGCTGTAACCCTATGTCCTGTTCGGCCTTACAACTGACCAGGAGCGCCTCTGTTTTGTCTGGATTCAATTTCAATTTGTTTGCCCTCATCCAGACTTGTCCAGCCTAGTGGATAGGATTCTTCCAGAGAACTTCAACGTGCTGTGTCCTATATGTCAAGTCCCATGTCCTCAAGACCCTATTATTATTCTATTTATTTTTATTTATTTTTATTATTATGTTTATTTACACCCCACTTTAGGAGGAAAAGACCCTTATATGGTCACAAGGCACTACAGAAAAAGGAACTCAGACATTGACAACTAAAGGTGTGCCCCGATCCAAGGAAGTATTCTCATACTGGGCCAGAGTGAAGAGGGGAGGCCAGGGGACAGCACCATCTTGTCGCCTGCATATGCCATCAGTTGGGGACCCCTCCCCCCAGCACCAACTGCCGCTCTGGGCCGGAGTGACAGTTCCACCTTGTCTCCTGTGCTATTCTAATAATATAATATAATATAATATAATATAATATAATATAATATAATATAATATAATATATATTGTATATACATATATTTATAATATTATAATGTAATGCAAGATAATGCTACTACTACTAATAATAATATGATATTATAATTATATATTTCTATTACATGTAATATTACTAATAATATTACAGTATAATTGATATACTGATAAACCGCATTGAGTCGCCGCCTCAGGCTGATATATGCGGTATACAAATAGAGTAAATAAATATAGTACAATATAGCAATATTGTACCATGCTAATAATATATTGTATGTATATATACCTTGTAAGACGCTCTGAGTCCCCTTCGGGGTGGGAAGGGTGGCATATAAATATCGTAAATAAATAAATAAATACAGGGATGGGGGGGAGGTCCTAATTGGATCTCTGTTATAAAGAAACTCAGCCACAGGGCATAAAGGAAGGATATATCTTCTGCTTTTCTTCGTTGTACAACACGTCGACCAACTGAATGACGTTTTTGTGTCGTAACCGACGCAGGAGCTGTATTTCCCTGAAAGACAGAAGAGAAGAAGAGTGGATAACAGCAAAGCCAAATCAACCGCTCATCAGTAACAACAACGCAGGACAGCTTCCCACATTTGCGGGTTTCGCTTTTGCAGATTTGATTAATGTGGTCCTATATATATAGGTCTCACTATATGACTTGGTGGCCAACTTCAGCAGGATGGTAATCACAGAGCTGTGCCAGAGGAAGTAGAGATTCCTAGAAGGAATGCTTTCCTTGAGAAGTTGACCTTTCGGTCACATTGGAGGACCTAAAGCGGTGTACTCTCAGGTAAGGAAAAATACCATACTGACTTGAGTCTCATGTACACCTCAATTTTCAAAACCTCAAAACCAAAAAAAGTATTTGCTGATGAATGCAATGCACAGTGGCAAAACGTGCCCTCTTTGTAATATGGCAGTTACAGTTGTATTGTTTTATGTTGTTATTATGTTGAGGCCTCGGCCTTTGTAAGCCGCATCGAGTCTTTCGGGAGATGCTAGTGGAGTACAAATAATGTTTAATAATAATAATAATAATAATAATAATAATACAGTTGCTGCCTGCTTAGAAACAAGCATTGGGACACCAAAGCTTTCAGAAATGGAAAAGAAACCTTGGGGTGCATCTCTGCTGAGAATGAATTCACTGTAACTGCCTTGGTTCAATGCTATGGAGTCATGAGGTATTCTATGCCATAATAATAATAATAATAAACAACTTTATTTATACCCCGCCACCATCTCCCCAAGGGGACTCGGGGCAGCTTACATGAGGCCAAACCCAACAACACATCAGTAAAAACAAAACAGCAAGCAAATAAAACAGTACAATTAATATAACTCACATTTAAACAATAATACACAGAATTTAAAACCTTATGGCCGGGCCAGATGTAATAAATTAAAAAAATTAAAATAAACACTGGGCGTAAACAGAGGTAGGATGTATCTAAGCAGGAGGCTTTTAAAAGGTAATATAGGGAGACCAACCCAGCGGGTAGTAAAGCGCTTCTGAGGACAATTGCAGAGAATTAGTCAGAGCAGGGCATTGTTTCCTTATTCAGGAAGGCACACTGGAACAGCCACGTTTTCAGGCTCCTCCTAAAGATTGCCAATGTGGGGGTTTGTCTGATATCCTTGGGGAGTGAGTTCCAGAGTTGGGGGGCCACCACAGAGAAGGCCCTCTCCCTCGTCCCCACCAATCGCGCCTGTGAAGGGGGCGGGGACGGGAGCAAGAGCAGGGCCTCTCTAGATGATCGAAGAGATTGTGTGGGTTCGTACACAGATATGTGGTCATGCAGGAAGGCGAGTCCCAAACCGTTCAAGGCTTTGTAGGTAAGAACCTGCACCTTGAATTGGGACCAGAAAACGAATGGCAGGTAATGGAGTTCCTTAAACAGGGGGGTTGACCGCTCCCTGTATGTCGCTCCAGTTAGTAACCTGGCTGCCGCCCGTTGTACCAATTGAAATTCCCAAGCCGTCTTCAAGGGTAGCCCCACGTAGAGTGCATGACAGCAATCCAATCTGGAGGTGACTAAGGCGTGGACCACCCTGGCCAGATCCGACTTCATAAGGTACGGTCGCAGCTGGCGCATGAGTTTTGTGTGAAGGCTCTCCTGGCCACCGCCAACGCCTGGGCTTCAAGCATTAGCAATGAGTATAGGAGGACTCCCAAGCTGCGGACCTGAGACTTCAGGGGGAGTGCAACCCCATCAAGCACAGGTTGCCACCCTATACTTACGATCAACCAGGAGGACCTCTGTCTTCTCAGAATTGATCCTTAGCTTACTCATCCTCATCCAGACAGCCACAGCGGCCAAGCACTCGTGCAATACCCAAGGAGCTTCCTTGGAATTAGGTGGAAAAGAGAAGTAGAGTTGGGCATCATCGGTGTAGAGATGGCATCCAACTCCAAAACTCTGGATGATCTCTCCCAGTTTCATGTAGATGTTTAAAAGCATGGGGGACAGAATGGAATCTTGCGGGACCCCACAGGTCAAAGGTCAGGGGTCCGAGCAGGTGTCCCCCAGTTTCACCATCTGGGAGCGACCCTCCCAGATGGTGGACAGAGCCGTGCCCCCAAGACCCAAAAGCGCTGATGACTCAACCAAACTAAAAGTCCCATGATGGCATAGCATTGAGGCATGACAATTAAACAAGTTCCAAGGGAAGCTCCTGAAATAGTTTTCTAAGATCTACAGAGACACTCGCTGGAACACCTCAGCAAGCGAGAGTCCAAAAGTGGCAGGCTCAAACCCAGAACCTCAACCAATGGCTGATACCAAATGAGAGACTCCCCCCTGGGCACACAGAGGACTGGGCGACTTGGAAGGCACTGAACAGACTGCGTTCTGGCACCACGAGATGCAGAGCCAACCTTCAGAAATGGGGCTACAAAGTGGAATCCACGACATGCGAGTGTGGAGAAGAGCAAACCACTGACCACCTGCTGCAATGCAACCTGAGCCCTGCCACATGCACAATGGAGGACCTTCTTGCAGCAACACCAAAAGGACTCCAAGTGGCCAGATACTGGTCAAAGGACATTTAATCAATTACCAAACTCACAAATTTTGTATTTTGTCTGTTTGTTTGCTTTGTTCTGTTAGAAATGTAATATAATTGACTGGTTGCCCTGACACGACAAATAAAAATAAATAAATTCACTCCTCTGGACCCCAAATGAGAGGGTCACTTTGGATTTCAAATGGTGCAAGCGTGTGCCAAACCTTGTGGGTCTCAGGCGGCCATTTCCCCAGGAACTCTCGCCCCGCTCTCATGCGCACAAAGATTTGCCCCCACCTCCCTTCCCAAAATTGTCCCACAAACTGGAAAACAGGAAGGAGAGTCCCAGGGGAAGAGCTGATCAGAGGGTGAGAGAGGGAGGAAAGCAGAAGCGGAGGAAACAAGAACACCGCTGCCACCACGCCAGCTGCCAAAAGCAAGGAAAGCGACGCACCGAGCAAGGGGACAGGATGTTCCTTTGGGCACCTCGGTGTCTTCCTTTTTTAAGGACATGCCTGTCCCCTCCCTCCCTGAACTCTGCCTCCAAGGACAAAGAAAGCAGCCAGCGCTCCTTCCTCCTGGGAAGATGCTGCGGAAAAGCGACTCACAACCTCCAGACATTGTTGTTGTTGTGACATGCCTTTGACTTTATGGTGACCCTAAAAACAAAGAGATCACCAAGAGCCATCAACACCGGATCAGGTCTGGAAGACTTAGGCAGCCACGGCTTTTTTGTTGTTATTACTTTCTTGGGTCCCTGGCGTTGCCTGGGTTATTAAAAAAAGTCAAATTTAATTGTACAAAATGCATAAGATTGTGGGTGAACTACAACTCCCATCATGCCAGATTAATCCCCTGAAGCTCCATCAGTACTTTAAGTTTGTTATGTTGGACAAGCTTGCTCTGGACGCAAACTTGTTCATTGGTGGGGTTCAGTGTGCTCTCTGGCTGTAGGGTAAACTACAACTTCCACCATGGTAAGACAGTCCCCTCAAACTCATCCAGTAGGTTGAGTTAGACATGGGGGTTCTGTGTGCCAAGTTTGGTCTAGTTCCATCATCAGTGGAGGTCACCATTTCTCTGGTTGTGGGTGAACTACAACTCCCAGAAAGGAAGGTCAGTTCCCCCCAAATCCCCCCAGTCCTCAAATTTCAACATATCACGTATGTGTGCCTAGTTTGCTGCAGATCCATCAGCGTTTGGGATCACAGTGCTCTCTTAACGTAGGTGAACTAAAACTCCCCCAAATCAAGGTGAATTTTCCCCAAAGACCTCCAGTAATTTTTGCTGGTCGTGGGGGCTGTATGTGCCAAGTTTGGTCCAATTCCATCTTTGGTGGAGTTCAAAGTGCTCAGTGATTGCAGGTGAACTATAAATCCCAGTACATGCAACTCCAAAATGACCAGGCTAATTCCCCACAAAACCCACCAGTATGCAAATTTGAGCATATCAGGTATGCATACCAAGTTTGGTCCAAATCCATCATTCTTTGGGTTCATAGTGCGCTCTGGATGTAGGTGAACTACAACTCCATCTAAATCCCTTCAAAGACCTCCAGTATTTTTTGTTGATCATGGGGCTTCTGTGTGCCAAGTTAGTTCTAGGTCCATCATTGGAGGAGTTCAGAGTGCTCTTAATTGCAGGTGAACTATAAATCCCAGAACCTAGAAACTCCTCTATATCATAGTGAATTCTCCCCAAACCTCTCCAGTATGTTCACTTGCTCATCAATTCTACTGTTTACTGCCTGCCATAGAAAAGAATAGGAAAGGGTTATGGGCGAGGCAGTGGGCGGGGTCATGCAAATTCCACACCAATGGAGAGAGTAGGAAACACCGGGATGCCTGCGGTGGAGGAAACACATAAAATCTAGGATGAAAAAGGTCCCAATATGAAAGCCTTCCCTTCGGTGGTGGACAGTATGGTGTTTGTGGAGGACATTAGCAGGGCTCTTGGACATGTTCATTGCACTCGCTATAACCTGCAATGCCACTGGAGGGAGGGCCTTTGGTGTCTTGTGTATAGTGGGAGCTATAGCTGTGTAAGTGGAAATCCCAGCCACACGCCCATATACTTTTCTGCACTTTTATTATGTGTATAGATTGATTATTTAATTATTTCCAAAGAATAAACATTATAACACTAACTTCTGGTATATAAAACCACTAATTAACAGTAGTAATTTTACACCTTCCTAATAACCATACAAGATGAGTATCCTCTTTTTGAAAGAAAAACTTCCTGACCCTACACCTCGATATTAGAGCCTTACCATATTTTGTCCTATCAAAGCTCTTAGAAATGTATATACCATATATTCTGGGGTATAAGACTACTTTTTAACCCAAGAAAATCTTCTCAAAACTCAGGTGTCGTCTTATATGCGCGAGTCATCTTATATGCGCGGTAGTCTTATACACAGGAGTTGTCTTATACGCTGGAGTAGCCTTATGCGTGGGAGTCGTCTTATATGTGGGAGTAATCTTATACGCCGGGAGT